TGAAGAAAGACCTTATAGATTCCCCCTCTTTTGATTCAGCCCGAAGAAATATATCACAAGAATGTTGGGCAATTACCTAACTATGGAGGACATATACCAGGAGCGATATTCAGGTAATGTTGTTCTTTAGGGCTTATGGGACTTTTGTGTATGCACATGGGCTGTACTATTATAGAAAAGGATAAAATTATGGAATGAAATTTGCTCCACCTGTTGTCTGCAAAATGATGAACAACTATGAATATATTGAGTTCAATACCAATAGTTACCATAATTCTTGGAGCTGAAAATGGCCCGATCTGCTGAAATCGAGGCTTGGTGATTGTATTCATCTAATCACTTATAGCGATCGAATGAGAAACAAAAGTACCCTGTATCAACGAAAGGACAGAGAGCCATATCCTTTGCTACGAAAATATGTTGAATTCTTTTGAACGCGGTACAGCACTGAATGTGAATTCGACCTCTTGATAGGCAAATTGTTTCTTATGAAGAGGTTTATCTGCTGAAGATTATCTTCTCGTATAGGAATTTTAATTTTTCCATTTTATTCGGTGACGTTAAGAATTTGGTTTACTCAATGAACTAGTCTTTGTTATGAGAGCCTCCATGCTTTCGAACTACATCTGAGGATGAAACTGGTTTTAAATAACTTTTTTTGTAAAGGCTCTATTCGACAAGGACATTATAATCAAATGGAAAAACTTCATCTTCGCCGATTGAAAGGTTTGAAATTGTCAATTGATTACTTCTTTTTGAGTTGTGCTAGGCTCCTACTAGATCTGTCAGGATCCCTTAATGTCGCTTCCATAGGGTCTTTCAACAGGGACTACCGAACTTTGACAATCGATAACGGCCACTGCTTGGTTTGAATATTGGACTGGCGGCGTCATCGTTCTATATTTCTTTGAGAACGAAGTTGGTCAAGCCATCACTGGCCTGAACTGGATGATCTGGGCACCAACGGCATGTGGTTTCAGCAGGACGGCGCTACGTGCCACACAGCTCATGTCACATCGACTCCGTGGCTCGCGCTGCGCCGTACTGATTCATGCCTTTGTTTTGCTCGCCCGCCGCACCGCAAGTCGCCCACGCGGTTCGCTCGGTACATTTCGCTGGCCGCTTCGCCGGTTGCCGTTGCACGTGACTTCATAAGTACATTGTACATTGCTATGCGTTTATTTCAGTCGCTAGACGCTTTGCCGTTCGCACCGCGTGAATATTCGCATCAGCGAATGTCCCGTGGCTATGCTGTAAGTTTAAAGAAAGGAAGCGCTTGAAGAAAGACCTTATAGATGAAAATTTTGCGTTTTTCCCCTACTTATCTTGAGGCTAGAAAATCGTCTTTAACGGCTCGTTGAAAACGTCTTTGTCTTGCTTAAGATAAGCCACCATTCTCTGAGAGCACGCCAATGAAAAATGTTTACCATTTATAATAATACCCACTGAAGACGGTTTGCATCAAAAGGAGCGACCCCACACCGTGATAGTTCCCAAGAATTAATATCTTGTTGCTTTCGTATCGCTCGAGAATGATGGCCCTCCTCCACGCTGTAGTTCCTATCCCCATCAGCTTTGCCTGTCAAGTTCCTAAGACCGTAAGAACGCACTAACCCAATCCATATTATGCACTACTCCACTTTGGTCCCAAATAGGTCCTACAATAGGGGCCGTTCAAGTATTATGTAGGTACTATAGGCGGGCGGAGGGGTTTTTGCTTATTTTTTATGGCATGGGGGGCGGGAGTCTAGATGGCGATTACGTCAGCAGTAGTTATTTACTTTTTTACACATATGACAACACACACATTGTCTGTTTGAAAATAAAACGCATTTTGGGGATTCCCACTAATAATGTTTACGTTCAGGTTCTAGCTTAGACCCGAATAGGGGAACTACCACGCGCTGTTCACTTGTCTAAATAAGTTGGGCCGTGCGAAGAAGATCTTTCTGATTTCCCAGACATTGAATGGTATAAAAACATATGCGTGAAAGCCAATACTTGCTTCAAATTGTAAAATGTAGAAACATAGAATGCTGTTGTCCAAGAAGTGGCCTATTTATATTACTATTATACAACAGGTTTCTTCCACCACCAGTAAAAGTAAGTTGATGGCTTGGTTTTGGATGATGAAGGGTAATTTCTCAATCTTCCAGCTATCAAGTCGAACATGCAGAACGTGTGGTCTTTATCATGCTTTCGTCAGGTCACTAAATCGTCATATCGAGAAGATCCTTGTAAAAGTAAACACGCCCACTGATGTCAAAGATTTGTCTATAAGGGTCGCTGCTCGTTGTGCTAATGAACTGTTTTGCATTATTCAAAATTCAGAGGACCACTAAATTGAATGGCTTGATGAAAACGACGCAGGCATTCCAAAATCGAATGAAAGTGAGCAGACACATAACATTGAACAGCAAACATCCAATGTCATTGAAAACTTAGAATCATACGGATGTCACGGACTGAAAACTGTTAATTGGAAATAATATGTAGATGAAAATTTTTAAAGAGATTAGTTTTGTTCCTAATATTACTTAAGATTATAATATTTGACCTTACTCTTTGTTGAATACCGTGTCAAAAAAGTTTGTTAAGATCCTCTATCCTAAGTCTATTGTCTCATTTCTATAATTATAACTGCTGCTCATGAATCGATAAAAAACAGAATACATGTAAAAAAAATGCATATAACAATGGTTACGTGTGTATGGGAGGGGGCTTAAGAGCTTTGCTTAGTTTTGCTGACAAGGGATATGGGGGAGAGTGTATAATTGTAATAAATATGTTTACGTAATACATGAACGGTCCCATAGGACTATAACGGAGTAAAATGAATTAGTGCTAACGCATAATATGGTCGTGATTTTATTAGGCGTACCTAATGATATCTATGGCAGCGATTTCTGGTATTGCAGTATGACTATGAGTTGGGTGGTCGGTGTAGAAAAAGAACTAGGGAATAGGAAAGATACATTTTTTGTTCTGGTTATGAGTATTGGCGATATGGCTGGATGGAAAAAACGATTTTCCTGACAGAGAATAATTGAACTCATATATTGTTCAGATGGTTTCGTTACAATTCCTGGTATTGATTTATATATAAATGAAAAAATTTGACACGTGTCTACCTACATTTAATAACCTATAAACCTGAAATATTTTTTCTGTACTCAAAAAGTCCCATCCATAATGAAATGTTTTATGATTGCAGGTACGGTAAAACGTATGGTAATGACTCAAGAGATGCCAAGCGATGGCTTCGAGGTGATTTTTCGACATAACCTGCATAACCTGTTTTCAGAGAAGTCTATCATTTGAGCATTGGAATGTTTGGAATCATAAATAAAAATTTTCTCAAAATCTTGCAAGTATCTCTGCAGCCTTCTGTAAAGTATCTTCTTTCTAAAAAAGAAAATGATTAAGAATCAAAATTGTACATTTAAATGAAGCCAACCTTGTAAAAACAAAACCTAGCAAACTGTTCATTCTTTTTCTTGTTTTGATCAGTGAAGAACACACTAGTGGGAATGCCTTGTAGTTGATGGTTTTTGATCAACCATTTGGTGACTCTCAAATCCATGAAGTCGTCAGTTTCGCAAAATGAATCTACGTGGTATGTTGAAATGTGATTATTTCAAAAATTTACTTTCGTAAATCGTTACCTAATTTTGAGATGTCTGCCATAACATAAAAACCTCCATCCGGTAAAATAGGTTTCATTCCAGCCTCGGATAATTTCTGCATTATAAAATTTCGTTTTTCAGTCAATTGTCTTTCCAAGGTAACAAAATGTGAATCATTTTGTCCTAGTCTGGCATCTTCTCTCTCCAAAAGTATTGCAAAAGCTTCCTAAAATGAAATGTTAAAGAAGTGGTCTGTCAAATCATAATGTTAGTCTGAATTACTTGATGTCATCCAAAAACACAAAATATACTAAGTGACAAAGAAAGGTAAACACCCGTTTATATTGAAAATATTTCAATAATGTTTTGCATGTGTATTTATGTCGAGGCCAGTAAAATTTCAGCCGTATCGGAAGCTATTCTGACCAGTTTCTTAACTGTTCTTTTGTGCGAGCATTTACCATTTCTCCAATTTTTATTCTTATTTGTGCTTTAACTGTTAAAGAGTTTGTTGTAAAATGTTTTGTATTGTTAACACTATGACTCGGGTGCGAAGACTTCGTCGTATTCCTCAACTTAGTGATTTTGAGAGAGGACGAATTGTTGGCTTACGTGAGGCAGGTTTTTCAGTTAGAGAAATTTCAAGAAGAACCAATCGATCTTTGCATACTATTCTAAGATATTATCAGGCAAGAAGGTCCAAGACGGCCAAGAACACAGAGCTAGGGGCAGCAGCAGGGGCTCTTAGGGATCAATTCATTTCTCCTAGAGCAATTGCGAATCAGTGTTTTGAAGAACATGGAAGGGTTGTTGGAACCAATACATTTTTAGTAAGTGAAAAATTAAATTCGACAAAACATTATCTATATTACAACCTTTGGTATAGTAATGAATATCACTAGAGTTTTTCCCAGTACCAAACCGTTATTTTGACACCTCGACATATGTGTCGGTCACCAAGCGAACATCTTCAAGGTGTTGAGGTGTTGAAATAATGGTTTGGTGTTGGGAAAGAGCTCTAGTAATATTCACTATCTACAGTGCATTTCTTTAATATCCCCCCTTTTATTTTTTGAACGGGTCAACTCAAAAGATTGAAATTTGGTGTAATGAAATGAATGTATGAATACTTTATTTTGAATTGAAATTGACAGATGAAACTTTCAAGATGGCGACTGGGCGCCATCGTGGCGCTTCTGACAAATGCTTCACAAAATAACTTAACAAACCTTATCGGGTTGTTGGAATTGCCATATGGCAAATAAAAAGGAATATTCCTAGAAATATCGATATTAGTGTGTTTGTTTTTAGGAAATTATTAAATGTTTCGTCATTTTGTGGTAGGGTTTGTTCTAGGGTTGTGAAGTATTCGTCAGGAGCTTCAAAATGATGTGTCACAAGACCCCTTTTCCATTTAATTTTTTCCCCGATGGCGCCCAGTCGCCATCTTGAAAGTTTCATCTATCAATTTCACTTGAAAATAAAGTATTCATGCATTAATTTCATTTTGAGGCCGGAAGAAGGAACGCAGGAGTTATAATTTATTAAAACTGAATAAACCATTACATTCCTGCTGATATCTTCTGAAGAATGAAGTCAAAAATTGAATTGCTAAATAATTTTAAAGGAAATACTGTAAATCACGTAATATCACGTGAGTAGTAATTTAATGAATAATTTTATTTTGTGTTTTTGACAAATTGGCGAGTGACTTTCATAGAAATGCAATCAAAAGAATAGTGCATCAATATTTCTCTATAAACAAACTACCTACTCTTGACAAGGGATTTAAAGGCATAAATGACACTCCGAGATTGTCAACTTTCAGAAGCATTTTTTTTAAGGACAAAACACAAACACTACAGAAAAATCCTTAAGGCGCTCTCAGAGCGGTGGCTGTGCAAAAGTAGTGATTCAAATTGGATTTGAATCGCTGGAGATTAAATCCATTGGAAATAAACGTTCTCAGGTTTATTCCAGATAAACGCAGTTCTCCAGATGAAAGAGTTTTTAAACACTGGTGTTCCAGGTGTACTGAGTTGATCCTCAAAACGATGAGCAGCCACAGTCCGTCGCGTATTTCTGATATGTAACTGTTTTGGTGGAATCAAATGTTCTAAGTCACTTGAACACCTCCCGTAAAAGTCTTTATAGAAGAGAGACAATTCTCCAATCTTTCTTCGATGTTCAAGGCTATCAAGGTTGCACGTGATGTTCGCGTCTCCAATCAGGCGGATGGCTCTTATCTGGATAGAGTTCAGCAACATTATGGGGGCAGAGCTCCATACATGAGAACAATACTCCAAAGAAAGTCTAATCTGAGCTTTATAAAGCATCAAAAGTTGCTGAGGTGTGTACAGTTTTCTGGTTCCTGGAACAGTGTTCCAAGCTCTCGAGAAGCAGCAATTCCATGATTGTGCAAAGACATATTGGTGTCCGTTTCAACCTCCAACAAACTTATCGAAGCAGAAAGCGGAATTGTTTGTCATTATTATATCCGGTTCGAAGACATTTATTTCTTGGAGAAAAACGATGCCTGGGTTTTTGTGGCATTGAATTCAACCTGGTTACTTTCACCCCAGTTCGAAATCACTTCTAGATCCTCATTAAGATATCCAACCTCCAGCTGCCGGTGAAGATGTGCCTCCGTAGTCGATGTCCCGAAATTCAAATGGAATGACGAGACAAGTGTGCTGTCGTCAACAAAGTAATTTATTGGATTCTTTGTTTTTTCCAATAAGTCGTTGATATACAATAAAAAGAGGGTTGGAGACAATATGGATCCCTGGGGAACACCAGCGTTGATGGTGAAAGTATTCGAGAGATATCCATCGACGGCCACTTGCAGGGAACGTTCTTTCAGGAAGCAGAAATAATCCGCAGAATAATAAGCAGAATAATAATAGATAGGGATGAAAAAGTGTTATGAAGAAGTGAGTAATTAAAAAAAATTAAAATCTACAGGAATGAAAATAGAAAGATTTATTTGGCAGACAAGACTTGGTGAATGCCGGATATACCAAATAAAAAATTTGGGTTGATAATTCTTTCTTCCTCAAGACGAACATTCTTTTGATGGACTTTCAACAGCATTGAAAATCCACCAGGGAAATTTTAATCGTATTATATTATTCATATTTATTTACTTAGCAATATGTATATTTTACAATTTTGGTATATATTCGGCTGATTAAATAATACTTCAAAAATTATAGAAAGTACATTGTATCGGCACATTCAAAACATATAGGCTTTCCATTGGACGTTATTATTAAGAAGACTGTCATCTTGAGCTGGTTTATTTGTCTGGGTGTATACTACAGCATAAAAAATGCTAACCACATACTGATAGTTTGCCACATTGAAAGTGATGACGGATTTGTTCTAAGGGCGCTGTGGGTTTTCAAATCCAAAAAAATCAGAGATTATGCATGGATTTTTTCAAAAAGTGGTTTAAAAATGTTTCGCCAAAACTCAATAATAACGGTATTGTTGTATTAGACAATGCCTCGTATTATTCAAAGAAACTGGAAAAAATGTCAACTACAGATATTCAAGATTTGCTGCGTTCTAAAAGTGTCCAATTCGAAGAAGCGTTTCTCAATGTGGAATTCTTAGAAAAAATATAATAAATATATTACTGATGGAATGGCTAGAGCTCAAAATAAAATTGTTTCAAGATTACTACCACATCACTGCGAACTCAATCCCATTGAGTTAATTTGAGCTGATATATAATACTACTTTTGAATTTGCTGACATTAAAAACATCTTCCATAATGCGAAAGCTACCATCATTTCTGAAAAGTGGAAAAATGTATTGATCACGTGCAGTAAAAAGTGGAGCCAAAAAATGTGGAAATTAGACAATATTGTAGAGCGACAAATTTAGTAATTTGTAATGAATGTGAATGATATTGACGTCTTATGACGAATAGAATGGCAACAGTAAATAAAATAATCTTTACTCAATATAAATATTTGCTATTATATTATTCATTTTCAAAGACTATATTATCAATTTTCAACCCGAAAGGAATTAATTAAACCATAACGACTAATAAACACATTTACCGTTCAAAGACAATCTACCGACCGCACTTAGCGGTATTTACAACAACATATTAAAGAAAATCCTGACAAACATCTTAAATTTTATTTTTAATTTTGCACCACCAGAATAATTATACAGGGTGTTTATTGAACATGGGACTATTCTTTGGACTAGTCTAAGAACATTTTGTCCCTTGATGATTTTTGATAGATTGCTTTAATTTGAAGATACCTACGGGGCGAAAAAAATTTCGACAATAACAATTTATTACCAAAATGTACATGCAATGTTTCTTAATCTACAAGAATTGTTGGAAAGGGCTACCCCAAAGGAAAGAATCCAGAGGGTTTGAGTCCGGTGATCGAGCAGGCCACAAGTGAGGTCCACCTCGACCAATCCAGCGATCTCCGTATGTTACTATTGAAAACTCTCGAGCCAATATGCTAAAATGCGCTGGTGCACCATCGTGCATAAAACACATTGCATTTCTTGTAACATCCTCCTTGTACATCCTCCAGAAAGTGAGGTAGCGTTTGTTCGTTCGAAAAAGTTGCGGTATACCTCGCCGGTAAGTCTTCCTGGCAGAAATACCGGTCCAAATAGGAAGTCACCTACTATTCCCACCTGAACGTTTAACGAAAACTGATGTTGAAAGCGATCTTCAAGCATCTCATATGGATTTTATTCAGCCCAAACATGGTTATTGTGAAAATTTCTGGAAGAAAATCTGCAGGAAGAAGTGCCTAAACTCGTTGTATGTGGTATGTGTACAACAAATAGTCTTACGTTACTCACATTTAAAGTATTTGTAATTTTTCGAGTAGAGGTAGGTACCTGGATCTTCTTCTATTATGGCCAGCACATTCTATTCCACCGTTCTTAGTGTCATTGGCCTTCCTGGTCTTTCATTTCGCTTCAATACTCCTGTTTTACGAAGTCGATGATGTATACTTTGGAAGGTTTTTCTATTAGGCACATTACGATTAGGAAATCGTTTATTGTACAACCGCCTAGCTTCCAGTCTTAACTTATGGCGCATTTATGGGAATACTGAATAAAATTTTTGTACAGTCGACATGAACGTTAGTGGGAGGAATTTCATTTGATTATTGTTTCCTATTCTGGTATTAAGAAAAACTGATCATCAACAGAAATCCAGAATTAAGGAGGCATTGTCATTGCTGTCAACCACCGTTGAAGATGCTCATCGTAATTATGGGCGAAACATTCGGAATTGATCTCTCCATTGGACCGCAGCTACCAAGCCCGGATAACCAAAGTGGGAATTTCACTAAAGGCCGTGAAAGTTTAAAATTTCAGTTCCAAAATTAACAGCTTAGAAAAGATAATAGCGCAACCAGTTGTTGTGTTTGGTACAGAACCAAATCAAGAAATGAATCTGCGATAAAAATAAATATTACGGGGAAAATATACCTTGAAACAAACATGAAAACACCTTAATAAACGCCCCGTCTGAGAAAAAAATTGAAGAACGGTTTCAACAGAACTGACCATTCTATTCACACGTTGGAGATACCGATTTTTCTGTCAGTAGGAGAAAAAACAATATATCGTCTAATGATATTTTGTATTGTAGTTATAGTTATGTAGTGGGATTGGATTAAAAAAATATTTGTGTAACATATTTCTACTGATGAATTTTAAAAAATGAGTAATATTTGTAAGTAGCAATATAACATATTAGTTTAGTTTTTCTTACCAATTCTTATATGTTGGTTAGGTTTATACACCATCCACTCATAAACTTCATCGGATATGCAAGTGACATTCCATTCCTTGCATAGTTCAGCAATTATTGTCAGTTCAGAAAAATTGAATACTTTTCCAAGAGGGTTGTTTGGAGTATTCAATATAATTACTTTTGTTTTAGCAGAAAATAGGTCTTCTAATTCTTTCCTATCCAATATAAAATCTGCTGATGACTCAAGTTTATCTTTCCTTGGATTCTGCATGAAAATCAAACAAGACTTAATTGACTACTGTAGAAAAGTGCAAACTGAAGGTAGAACAAAAATCTTTGGCGTGGAATAAATTCAATACAAGCACTGTTCCCAAACGTCAGAACTACAACACATTCCACGACGCGTGTTTTGCCAATCACAGCGTCTTTAGGAGATGAAGTGGTCTGCTACTACTGTTTTGGAAATGTACAAAACAAAAATTTATAAAATATCACAATTCACTCCACAAATTTAACGATTGACTCTATCGAAACACCAAGAAAAGCTATACTAGAAGACATTAATCAGAATTAGAACTCTTTTTGTTCGGTTGGATTCAGCTATTATTTGTAACGTTAATTTAGTAATATACTAAGACTATGAAAATCATTAACTTTTAATAATCAAATTATAGCATGATCATTATTCACGTTAGCATAAATATTTTACCAGAAAGGTTGCTTTCGAAACGGTTCGAAATACAGATCAATAACAAACCTTGAGATATAAAAGATACAGTTCAAGTAAACGATATAGTGCGACCTACCTTCCAACAGCTCCCCTTTGATAATATAGTTAGGGAGCTAACTAAATTCGTTATTCGGTAATCATTTGGTACAACTTAAAAAGGTTATGAATGAAGAGCATTTATTGAACATTTACTATGCGATGGTTTATTCAGTACTATCTTACAATGTGCTTTTGTGGGGAGAAGGGATTAACATCAGTCGAGCATTAATCTCTCAAAAAAGGATAATACGTATGTTGTATGGACTTCGACACACAGATTCCTGTAGACCCATAGATATTCAAGATTGGCTGCGTTCTAAAAGTGTCCAATTCGAAGAAGCGTTTCTCAATGTGGAATTCTTAGAAAAAATATAATAAATATATTACTGATGGAATGGCTAAATACGCCTGATGCTTTCTTTCAATTTTCCCCAAATCAACTCGATGGGATTGAAAACAAAAAAATAGGGAGAAAGTCGCAGTATGGTGTGTCCATACTTTTCAGTAATACTCTCAAGGGCATACACTTTTTCAAATGTTTTTGTCTGTAAAACTTAAAGTACTTGGTTTTTGGTATAGTAATCGTCAATATACAGATTGTTATCCATTAAAAGGCCAAACCATTCCTCTAAAATATTACCTTTCATGTTCTTATGTTAGTCAACATTGCAGTCTTCAAGTTTTTTCCACATAATTTCAAAGAATTCGGAACCCATCCTTTACTTCCTCCGCAATGCAAAATGATTAGTCGCGATCCTTTTTTTGCAGATATGTTAGACGTACACATTATCGAACCATCAGTCCATCCTTTCGTAACTCTGTCGTGAGTGTCATACCAAGTTTCGTCAAAATTGAAAATTTTCCGTTGTTCTTGTCTATATTTAGTAATTTGTCGTAAGTATTTGTTACGCAATTTCACTATTCTTCTGCTTTACATAACTGATTGGCGTTTGTTTATTATTTTAAATGTAAACTATAGTTTCTATATCCAATTCTGTAGAGTTTTGTCATAGCAGCTCACGTTATGACCGGAAGTATTCAATTTCTTCTTTATGATTTCATTTTTAGAAATCTCATTGCTTTTGTAACAGATTTTTTTAATGATTTTATTAGATGAACATCTGAAGGTTTTGGTAATCCTGTATCACATCGCGTCTTACGTTCATAAGGTTTGTTTTTGACTATTTTACGTACTGTTGAGAAAGGAATTTCGGTCAAATCTGATGTTGATGTAATAGTTTGTTTCCCTCGAAACCAAACTTGAGATATAGATTCTTATACATTGAAACATACTCTTTGTGTTTCAATATTCAAATGCACCGAATCTTAATCACTGGTATCTCTTTTTCGCATTGTTCACCATCGCTATCGAAATCACTACACTGGAAAATGTCTGCGTTGTTATCACACTCCTTATTATTTTTAGTACTTGTCCATGAACGCCACATTTTAAACAGATAACAAAAATTTTAAATAATTATAATTGCACCAATATGGAATTTTAACACTCAAATCGCTATCAGTTCCTGAACTGAACACGACGGCGATAACCATCACCGCATTCTCCGAGTTCTATTCGTCACCGTAACATGACTTCAAATTTGATTGTATGACTCTTCAACCAATCATAAAACTCGGTTATTAAAAATTATCTGCTAAGTCTGCAGTCCACGTGGACTAGTTCGCTGCCGGTTTTTTGGCCTTTGAGAGTGTCGCCAACTTAAGAGTGCACAATATCGTTTACTTGAACTATACCTTTCTCATTTTTCATGATCGTAAAAATATTTGAAAACAATTATAGCTTTCATTAACTTTGTCTCATGTCAGTCTTGCCAACCATATCAAGAATAAATTATTTCTAAAACTAAATTAGATTTCTAGTCTGTCTGGATGTTCCGAAGCTTCTTCAAGAGCTTGATAAAAATCAATTATGAGACGGTAGCCGATTGGGTTGGAGGGAATGGTTTATTCCACTTAGCCAACCGACCACTGTGAGAGCCGGTGGTTCAAGCCTAGAGGTCGGACGATCCGTGCTGGTAATCGCACGTTAGTCCTCAGTTCGCACAAGTTTCTACTTTTGAGAGTTGTCGTTTGTAGGGTAGAGACAGCTGGTTAATGGAAAATAGATTTTAACAAATTTTTTATATAAATTTCCTACCATCAAACTATTAGTAACCATAATTTCTCAAATACAATTTCATAGTCTATAAAACGGAGGAATAGTGCATGCTGATTAATATGAAATAAGTAACTTGTGAAGAAATGGATCCGATATAGATTATTGTGGAATGCTACAAAATAGACACGATTTGGTGTTGCTTTATTCTGAAGAAACATTACATGCTTATAATAGAGAACTATACAATGTTAACATACTTACTGGTTTCAAGCAAATAAATTTTGGTATTCCCCCTGCCAATCGTATTAGAGAAGTATAAACGGTGAAGTATGGTTCTATCAAAATAACTTCGTCTCCTTCACCAACGAGGCTCATTACTGAACAAAACAGTGCTTCGCTTGATCCAGAGGTGATCAAAACTTCATTTTCTGGGTCGATGTTTCTGTCTATGTGTCTCGAATATAATTGTGCAAAAGCTTTGGTGAGACGAGGATGGCCCTAAAATATTAAACGAGCTAAAGAAAATGTCATTTTCGTTATATTCACGAAAATTGAAAAGTTTAAGTAATTTGTCAGTGGAAATTAATTTAATTGGATGCAGGGCCGTCGCCATGGGGGAGGGAATGGGGGAGCCTCCCCCCTGTTTTTTCGACTTGGGAAAAAGTTGAGAAAAGTTGGGAAATTTTGGTAAAAAGGGTTTGCCAAAGGCTATCTTCCACCCCTAACAAAAATTATACAGTGAGTGTAAGAAAATAATAATGAAAATACTTGTTTACTATCATAACAATGATAGAGAAGAGAAAAAAATAATACATCATATAGTTGATAATAACTCTTAATATTCTTAACATTATTTTGGTCAATTTAACAATTTCATTACACTACCATACATTAAATTTTAAATTGTTTAAATTAGCACTGAGCAGTAAGCATCTGTGATTTTATTTCTTTCTCAAATTGATGAACATCGTGATTTAAAAGGGGTAAAATTTCATTCAGATAAGAAGGGGTTATATATGAAAAACATCCTTCAAATTTGGAAGTACGGTGCCTAGGCATGTTGAATGAGTTAATTTTAAATTGACCATATGTATGTCAGAATGCTTGCTTGATAAACTGAATAAATACCTAGGTGTTTTAGTTTGAAGCAACTTAGACAAAAACATTTTTATAAAATATTTGACTCTGTACCTCACATTCAGCTCCTTCATTTTTAACAAAAACGGTGTGACATGTTCACCACTCTCTACCCAGTCAATGTCTGCGTTATCGAGAGTGAGCCTAAACTTACACTGAGTTTCTACTATTTGTCTTTGAGACCCTATGCATAAGGCCAAAGTTTTATTTGGAAAGATTTTCAGTCCATGATTCTCCGAGTATAAGAATGTTTTGTGCAAATCTGTGTTTATATTGGCCACGCAACTTTCTGTATCGGTGTTTTGAGAAGACAAATGTATATCATCTGCGTATAGATGTACTTGACAATGTGATAAGAAAGTTTCTGGCAATTTGCTACCAATTTAGACGTTGCTCGGTAGGAGCCAAGAGCTTCCAACGCCGTTTGACTGTCCGAGAATATTTTTGTATATGAGGTTGGATTCTTCCAATCTCTTCGCGCATTATTCAATAGCGTGAACTTCCGCTTGAAATGCAGTCACATAGGTTCCTAGGCAGGATGATATCTCTGTCCTGGGTCTGCGACCGGGAGGATCCAGTCCTCTCCACTCGGGAACAGTACTTTATAAGGCAGTTTGTAGTTGACAGTTGGAGGCATAAAGTCGGAGGTCATTTCCAGTCAACCACCAGGCTGTTGCCAGACAAGCATGTCTCTGTAAACGAGAGAGCTTTGCCTGAGAAGTTTTCTGTAAAGCCTTCGGCCACCAGGCAATTGCACCATAAGTGATCATTGGTCTGACAATTATCACATAAATCCAATGGATTTGTTTTGGACCTAAACCATAAGTTTTACCACAAATCCTTCGACATGTCCATAGGGACAGTCTAGCTTTGTATAAAACTTTTTCCAAGTGAGCGTTCCAGGTGAGTTTTTTATCAAGGACAATGCCAAGATATTTCACCTCCGTCCAAATGGAATGACCTCACCATTGAAAAAAAGTGGCGTTAAATCGTCCAATTGTCTCCTCCTGGTGAAGGACATTATCACAGTTATGCAGGGGTTGACAGACATCTGCTCCCTCAGGCACCAACTGTGAACAACGTCCATCGTGCTTTGGAGGATATTACAAGCTACCCTTCCCGACGTGGACCTTACCAAGATGACAAGGTCATCTGCATAAGCTTGCAGATCTACTTTTCTTCTGTCAAGGGCATCAACTAGACTATCCATCAAGAGCGACCACAGAAGGGGCCAGCCCACCTTGAGGCCAGCCTCTGGTGACCATGAAAGCAATGGCCTCGCCTTGAAGAGTCGAAGTTGCAGTTCTGTTCATCAGCATGGCATGATCCAGCCAGTTATGGTTGATTCTATATCCGTAGATGATTGTGTTAGTTTTTGCAATTTTTTTTTGGCTACCTATCAACAAACAACTTAAAACCAGTCATACTCACCTTCGGGTTGGTGTACTGATGTACAGACGTTTCGGAAGACACAACTTGTGCTAGAGTATCTCTTATGTACTTCGTAGGTGGAAAGTCAGGAGCACCAAGTCCAAGATCTACAGGTTTATACTCTTGAGCTAATTGAGCGTATTCTTTCCTACAAATGCCAATCGCTGTCTTTATTAACGCAATAGAACCAAAAACGTGTGTTAATTTTCCTGACACAACCTGTTATTGCAATGATCATAACATATCCATAACATTTTTTGTAAGGTGAAAACTGAACGAATCAAAACACTGTTAATAAATAACCAATAATTAATTACCTATATCTTAGTCACAGTCAGGAGAACCAAGTCCAAGATCTATAGGTTCATACTTTTGAGCTAATTGAACGTAGGTATTATTTTCTACAAATGTCAATTTATATAAACAAATTGTGTATTTTTTGGGGAGTAAGTAGTTAATCAATAATCAATTCTCAAAAAAAGTATTATACAAGTATGACGACTCCTCCACTGAAAATTTGGAAGCAGAGGTTACTATAGAGACGAAGGGATTCATAGCATAATAATGACGTCTTTGTTGAAAGAGTTACCCTTTGAAATTCAATTTGATGAATCTGAACGATTTTCGTTTTCTTACGATTTAAACAAAAGGTGGGTGGGAAGTGGTATCTATCGTCCACAAACAAGGTAAGTACTTCAGATATATCAAGTTTTGCCATATCGTTAATATATAGCAAGAATAAAATTGGGCCTAGGACTGACCCCTGAGGGAGCATACAATTTTTCCACTACCAGAAGTGTTGCTGCACAATGTTATTTTTTGACTTCTACCAGTAAGATAAGATCTGAACCATTCTAAGGCTGTTGTCTATGATTGCGTTTCTTATAATGAAAACGCCCAACAAAGATTCACAAGTTAAAAGATAAACAATTGAGAAATGATAAAGGTATAAATAACAGAAACTTACCAAACATCCTCATCGTCTATATCATTCAAACGTAGGCTTAGTGACATTATTTCACTAGTCTTCACCTGTCTTAGTAAGTACACTATATATTTTTTCAACAGTCGCTTATGCAGAAGTTAAAATTGCAACATATCCAATAAGCTACTCACAGTTTCAAGCGTTCCAGAATCAGAGTTGGACTATAGTGATATTTAAGTGCTGAACTAAATCAAAAGTACTTAATTATCTAAGATTGTGATCTTCACTTGTGTGTTTATTTTACATTTATCGTATTTACTACTTTGGTAGACAAATACAATCGAAGTTTATGTAAAGGTTAATGATCCATATCGTGATGTAGAAGTAGAAAACCAACAAACTTTTTGCAAAAACTAATCTCTTTTAAAAAATATCCCTTTTTCAATTCATTCCTACTATATAACTCAATCTATGTGATGAATTCGGCTGATACTTGATGAAAATTGAATATCTCACAATAAAGTGTTTCTTGAATAACTTAAACTATTGGGAAAAATTGTATGAATTTATATATGGTGTTTAGTTTCAAAAAAATATAGCTCAAAATATCCGACACGTACACACTTATACCTTTGTCTCACATCATTAAGATGATTGCAAAATAAAATTGAAACATTTCATTGTAGCTGTGGTGAGCTGACTCGTAGAAAATTCAATTAACTCAAAAAATAATAATAATAATGAATATTACCACCAAAGTGTCGGAAACGATCAATTGCGCTAATAAATTTACCAAAAAAAAAACGTAGCTCATAAACTTATAATGAGCTTTTCTGGAGAGCTTTTCGAGGACAGGCTGCATGGGCTTCATTGAATTTCTCAAGGGTGATTACTGATGAATCCCTCAACTAGGTTACCAAAAGTTGTTAGAGGTAGTAACTACAACACCAACATGCCGGTTCTATGGTATTCTTCTAATTTCTTATCTATTGATTGGTGAGTGTATGTGAAAGATAATGCGGAAATAAATCTGGTCAGCTGTAACTTTTCTTCGCATGAACCACTGTGATGTTGTTCTAGTTTGTAAAGGTCCATTTCCTGGATATAATTTGAATCAATCACTCCTTGGCTTACTTCATATGATCCACTTTCCGCAGCTAGGGTTTATTCAGGTGTCCTCTAAACAGATAATGTTCACTGATGAGTAGTCCTCTGCGATAATCCTGAGCAAATTTCTGCTCTGCTGAAGCAGTTCTTTTTTCAGGCGGTCCATTTATGAAAGTTGTCCCTGATCTTGCACCCTCTTGAGTGTCCTTGCACCCAATATATATGTATTCCGGTTCAATTACTTCAGTTCTTCTCAGCATTCTTGAATCAGTCTCTTGGAAGACGCATGTCTACTGACGAGGCGGGTAGTGGTATTTCTCCCCACACAGTGTATCCCAGCTCCCGTCCGATATTTGCTTTTCAACCCGTCTAACCATCAGGTGTTTTTGGTAAATATGTTCTTTCGATGATGTTTCAACATCCTGTACTCACGGTTTGTGACTAAAAGAGTGAAACTTCGATGTCATGTGATCAGTGAACATGTTAATCTTCGTTCCTCCACATATTCCGAAATTTTGATCCTACCATCAAATTCCTTATATTTTTTTCCCACTATATTTCATAATTTACTTATGACAATTCGTTTTAAATTTGTTTTTTAAATTTATAACAATTAATACATACGGAGTTGGTTTATGGAACGGAGATAGTCAATTTTCCTGTTTAACAGTCACATTTCAAGAATTTCAAAAAAATCAGCGAAATGAAGCTTAATACATATGTCCCAATACTAGTTCTTGAACAATATAAAGGAAAAGTATATGTCTAGGGTTACATTAATCAACCATAAATCGTAATTTCATGCGAGAAATTAGTGATTCGTCTTTCAAAGTTATGCAAATAGGTTATGATAGGGAGTTGAACACAATTTTTCCGTCTGATACTTCAAAACTGAAAAAAGCCAACTTTGAAAAGTTAATATTTTCAGTTTTTTGGGAAAAATGTTTTGGATTTCTATTTTGCTTTCTTCTTTTTTTTTGAAAACTTTTTCCATATCATTTGTTTAATGATAGAGAAGTAAAAATTAAAAAAATTTATTACATTTTTTTCCTAACATAGGCTTCATGTTCATATATACAGTGTGTTCCAGGATTATTGTTAAAAGAAACGTGATGGACTCAAAATTTTAGAATTTTAAGAACGAGTTGGCCTTGACGGCGAAGCAAGAACTTTTTCTTCTCAGGTAATGTATCCTTTTTGTTCTACATAATATATATTTATTTAAAGTACCTTCTAGCATTATCTGCGATAAGTTTGTGAAAAATCTTTAAATATGCTCAACCACAAGAATTTCATGCTGATGTTTAGCTATTCAACCTTCCACAATCTGAAAATAAACAAAAATAAATTGAGTCCGGACCTGTGATTGTTGTTTCATCATTTATTTCTTATCAACCACGAGTCTTATCTTTCATGTTGAAAGATATTAGCGGTAACATTTGTTAAATATGTTACAATTTTTATTTTATGGATTATAATTTTGCAACTCATTTTCCATTCCACAAAATGAACAAACACAATTGATCCATTCGAAGAAAATGATTGAGAGTTTCAAAATAAGGCAACAAATATAATTGTGGAATAACTTGATACGATCCGAGAGAGTTGTCGATCCCACGGCTTCGCGATATATGCTCTAATTCAAGACTCAGGAAGTTGAAGCTTCTAACCAGTTCCATGATGTTACCAGATTGTGTGAATTGGAATGACATCCCAGTTTCTCAATAGTATCACCTATAAAGTTATTTTAGTTAATCATATTCTATTAGAGCCTCTGTTTGCTAATACTTCTTGGAATGTTTACAATTGCTCATAATTTTTCGGGGAGCAATTCATTGACTACAGGGCATTAATGATCCCGTCAAGTCTTAGCAGACCAGCACTATGGATTTGCAAAGCAAGTGTTGAGCATCAGTTTAGGCAGCACATCCGTAGTAGTGGCAATTCTCATTTGTCTCATCAACCTATTTTATGGAAGTGATACATCAGTGAGCAGTGTCCTGTGAGAAATTGCATTACCAATCTCAGATCTTTTTTAGGTAACCCCTAGAAGCTGTATTTAACTCCCTCATCGTGAGTACATTAACTTCCTCGTTTCCTCCAATTTCCTTGTGGTCTCCACATCAGTATTACTTGATTTCGCTCTGCCAGTTAATTAGAAAGCTTTTTGCAATCCTTTATCAGTTTAGACCCACAAGTAAATATCTTTAGAGCTTTCAGTGCTGCTTGGCTGTCTCCCGAGCACATGTATCTATAGTGAATTAAAAATGAGCAATACTTGTCCTGGTGTCGATTTAGCGATCTAGATACATGTATATTGTATATCTAGATAGCCTTTCAATGTGTCTGTGTATATTTTTCTCTCTGTTATCATTCAACTCTCTAATGTAGTCGTATATTTTACCAAGTTCCGAACTCATTATATCGATCTGAAGGTTTTTCAGATGAGAGTCCATTGAAAAAACATACTCAGTATAGTATACTAGCGACTCATTCCGGCTTCGCACGGGTGCCATGCTGACACTAAATATAAATTCAACCATCGGAAATTTAAGGGCATGGAGGAAAAGTGACGAACAAGTAATTTTCATATGTAATCGCGCCCCTTTTCTCCCCAGTGTAGGCGCCCCAGTTGGAATATTTGAAAATCCTCTCTTATTGCACATCTATAACATAAAACGAACCTACATACAAAATTTCATCCTCCGAAAATATAGCGGTACGGAGAAACAGTGATGAAAAGGTATATTTCATATGTAAACGCGCCCCTTTCATCACCACGGGCGGCGGCTAAGTTGGAATATTTGAAAATGCATACAGCATAAAGTTGCTATATTCAATAGTATGCTTCACAGACTATTGAATATTCCACTGCCTGAGAGTAATTTCCAGAGAGAGCTGACTTTGATCAAACAAACGCGGTTAACAACGATAGATATTATAGACTCCATTTGGTCGGACACTAAATTTAATTCATTACAAACTTAAGTAAAAGTTAGGTACTTGAAATGTAGGTACTTCAAATTGTAGAATAAGGTATAGTAAGCATTGAATATGTAGAATTAGTAAAGATACGTCTGAAGAAGCCATTGTATGGCGAAACACGTGTTGCGTTTTTGTGAAATCGTTTAGTGAAAATCCCACAATAAAGTGTTTTTTGAATACGTTAACCAAATTGTTAAAGACCATAATTGTCGATTGTGCTGACAGCAAAAAAACACATTTTTCATTCAACAAAATATATTCTTTCAATAACAACATACTTTCTGTTAAAAAGTTGAGCACCAAGTTTTTCTTAAAATATCGTCAGTTTATCCTATAATTAATGTGAACAATATATTTCACTTGAGACTAGATTTCCATTTAGTTAAAATGTCACTGGCTTTCTTCAAATTCTCATCCTTCTGCAAATAATAGACATACCAGTGAAAACAGTTTTTTTATAACACAAATACTCACCTTGATAAAATTGTATCTAACATAGTTTTCACCCAAATTTTTGTGAGGAACACTGTAAAAAGCAGAAGGTGGAATGCCTTGAATTCCAATATTCTTTGTCATCCACTTCGTAAACCTATAATCTTTGTATTCATCCTTCTCCGACTCAAGATTTATTTGAGATTCTGAAAATTCAAATAAACATATTTCAAAGGTGAAATTTCCAATATCAACATTGTCAATGTTTGTCTCTTCCATGCCTTTCCTATGTAAACAAATGACATCACATCGGCTCTTTGTGCATTAGATCATTTCTTTATATAGTCATATAAATTGAGATATATAGTCATATAATTCAATTCATCAATATACATATCAAGTGCTAAGTTGACAGAGTTTAGTACGAACATAGCTGAAGAAGAAGAAAACGTGTTTGTAAACAACAAATGCAACTTGAATTCACTACTTTCGATAGGGTATAATTTAAACATTAATTCTGAATTATATTCTTTTGGGAATGTGTTATCATAATTCTGAGTTGAAATCAATTCGCGTGTTTCTGAAAATTGGTCTCGAACCACGTAAAATGTAAGTGGTTGAAATTATTGTTTTTACAAAATCTCTAGATATTCCAGACTTCTTGTTCAACTTGTCTGGCTGAGAGAGTTTCATTTGAAATGAAGTATTCCAGTATCCATGAATGTGTTAATACTAGAGATGAAAGAGATATCCAGAAAGTATCCGGCGGCCTATATACTATCCGGCCAAATGCCGGATTTAAAAATATATATTTTTAGGTAAATAATTTTTTTATTCAGTTAGTAACATTAACGAAATACAATCAGTAATCACAAAATAATTTTACACTGCAATCAATACATTGAGTCAACGAATAAAACAATTGTTAACTTCGTTTATCAACGAAATGTACAAATTGGACCACCCTATTGTTTGCGCGCCGCCTACGCAAGCGTGCTTCTTCCGTTTCATCTCTAGTTTATAGGTAGGAATTGAAATTAAAGATAAGTACATTTGGGGTACAAGTAAACTAATCATCACCTATAGAATTTCAAAACAAGTAAAGTTATTCTGCAAAAAAGCTACAAAAGTGGCTATAGCTGTATTTGGCTACAACAGTTTATTGAAAATATATGGCTTCTAGCAGATGTATAAAATTTGCCAAATAACTTCGCAGGCAGAAGCATTATGAAAATATCTATAACACTATAAATTTGGAGATTCTCTTCAACAAACATATGAATTTACAGTCAATTGTTGCGTTAGGTACTAAATTCAAAAAATGTAGCTACTACTTTCAATTTTTTTTTTGTTTTACCTATGTGCAAGGAGACATTTACACTACTGTCACTTTGTCAAAACACATCTGCCCCTATATGCCCTCCATTAAATTTTCAAAGTGATCCGTTGTCTGGTTCACCAGAAACGTCTAATGTGCCATCCACCGTGAATCAGCCTGTATATATATGTTCCTATTGAAAGTAATGAATGAGCAAATACTAAAAATATATCAAACTATTCAATTAATAGGAAAATATAAACATTATAAAGTATTCAAAAGTTTTATGGAGGTTGATAAGATATAACAATAAATAAATATACATATAATAGTGGACAGTGTTCAGAAAATCGTTTATAGTGTAAAAATTAATTTTACATCTGAAATCATTTGAGTACTTCATTTCTCAAGCAATTTTTATTCCCACATATTATGATGAATTCTGGCAAAGTGGAAGTTTAGAGAATGGATTGTAATATAATCTTCCTTTGTATCGAATCCTGTATTTGAGAAATTGCAATTTTTTGTAAAGTAGTTTCTATTTTCCCGGATAAATATGACAACAATATGTATACGAACCCCATATGTCTTATATTTCATAAAACTAGTCCGAGGATTTTTCAACATACCTCTGAGTTCTCTATACAGGTGAACTTGCTTTTGGTTGCAGTGAAAACTTAACTAACCCAAAATATAATAAAAACGCAATTTGAATTATATGTTGTGAGCTTCACAAGCTAGTTCATCGTCTGTTATATACCTATAGTACCTCGTTAAATAAGTAAGAAACAACCCATTTGTCAAGAATAGACTGAATGGTTAGACAATATAAAAAGGACAGTTCCTACTTGACCACTCATCGCACGAGTGTACTATGATTTGATGCAAACTAGTGTATTTGCATGCAAGTACACTTGCATCTTCCTCTTGAGAGAAACAACCAAGTGTACTAAGTGCAACCATTACCACGTTGACTTAACAACCATGTTGCAGCTTTATCAAGCCAACTCAATCAAATGCAGCCGGAATCGATATAAGGGCTTCCGAAAAAGCAAAAAATAAAACAAAAAACTTTTGATCTGGCTCTGTAATCAAGGGTTACATTTTTTGGTAGAAATCTCATCTATAAAGTTTACGACTCATTAGGAATTCATTCATTTTGTTAACAGTTTTGTAATGCAAATTTTTGAAATTACATTGATAAGTATTTAAAAAAATAAAGGGTCCAAAATGAACCCTTGTGGTGCTCCTGAAATAACGACTTTTTTATATGATTCAATGCCTTCTATTAATGTGGTTTGTGTGCAGTTTGTCGAATATGAGTTGATCCAATTATATGAAATCAAAATAAGTTTACAAATTTTTGTACCGAAAGATTAGGTTGACTCAAAAATTTACTGAAAGACTTATCTTTTATAAATGAGTAGTTTATAAACAAATTCAAAAAGTCGATTTTCTAAACCCATTAGTTACTTGAAAATCTATTTAGAAGGAGCACAGCAATGTTTAACTCTAGGCTACCGTATAGTTAAACATATGCGAAAATGTAGGTATGTGAAAATCTCACAATAAAATGAGAAATATAACTTCCTAAGTTTTTTACTACTTGTATTTATAACTAACGTTACTGCAGTTTCATCCTATAACGACATTTTCAAACGAATACATTACCATGTAGTAACAGCTACAATCATCAATTTATTTAAAATATATTCAATGCAATCATGTTTTTCGATCAGGTATCAGTCGAATCCATCACAAAAATCTGGCAAGTACATCATGATTATTTCATANTAAAAAATCAAGATAAGTCTTAATGTAGAATATGTCATTTGTTATTCAACTGAAGAGATGATACAAGAAGAGTTCGAAAGAAAGACCAACAATAAAAGGCATAGGTTATCATTAAGAAACTTACTAGTAAGTTTATCATCCTACAATATATGTAACTATTCATTCAGTAGAACAACAAATTTATTTCATTTCCAAGGAGATGGTTTAGGTTCAATTTGATAACATCTGTCCTTGAACCAAACATTTGTTAATTAACAAAAAAAAATTTATGAATATTGAGCATATTCATAACGAGCAAGTTCTCATTTGATCAATTATTATATATGATAAATTATTTGTAACTCAAGAAGCAGATTTGAATTCTTTTAAATAAAAAAACGAATGCTGAAACTTTGTAAATAATATAGTTAGGGCCACTACATATAGCTCAAATTCACTAAGAAACTAACTTAGTAATTGGTGGATGATTGGTTAATCTACCAATTCCAAGTTGACTTTCTTGGTTAAAGGGGACCAATAGGTTTGTATCACTTTAAATTCAGTAGTATTCAGTCAAATAGATGGTCCTTCTATTTGTGTCAGACTTTCATCAAACAATTATTAATCTTGATCCAGTTAACAAAGTGAACCAGCTGTGTGTCAGATTTATGGATTCTGAGATAATTTGACTATGGAAAATTATATCTTTTGCCATATTTTTGTATTTGATCTGAAAGTTTACAAATAAAAAAAGCTAATTATTTCTGATAGTATGTTATTTGTCATCCAGGATTTCATTTCTTCATTCAGCTGAGTACAATCATATATTTTATTACTATCAACTTCAAAACAATCATATGATTATTGTTAATATATTATGTTTCAGTCCTATTGTCAAAATGGTATAAAAATTCAACTTTTTCTCCCTCCTAATNTTAGAGGAATGAATCTGGGTATACCTCCTGCATATCTAACCATAGGTTCATAGCAATCATAGAAAGGTTCTATTATTATAACTTCATCTCCAACTTCTGTATGTCCCATGATTGTTGAAAAAAGTGCTTCATATGCTCCACTAGTTGTAAGAATTTCAGTTCGTTCATTGATAGGTCTTCCAATTAATTTGGAATATAGTTTGGAGAGAGCAGCCACAAGCCTTGGATGACCCTACAATAGTTCATAAAATATGAAGTAGATAAAAACATTCACTTCTGAATTTAATTTGAAAGTAAGACAGTACAGAATTGGAATTACGAAAATCATTTTTATCATCTGTAATGACTATACATTATTCAAAATAAAATTTCAAGATGTATGATCAAACTAGATTGCTGGGTTGTTTTTCCGGGTATGCAACCAGTCAAAGTTTCTTGATAGACGATCTTTATGAAGCAGGAAGCAGTAACACATCTTGACAAATCTTAACCGTCAAAAAATTTCACTGTTTTTATTATCAGAATTTTAACCCACACGTCTTCGGAAATCAATAGTGAGGGTAAGAAAGGGTCCTTGCGAGGACATACACTTTAATTACATATATAGCGAGCCCCGATTTTTTTAGCTCTCCCATAGAGCACAAATACAGTTGCAGAAATAACTACTTGAAGGCCATCAAAAGTACTCTGATTTTCCAATTACGACCCAATTTTTGAAAAATCATCCCTTCTTTTAATGTAATTCCTCCAATTTCATCATTAATCATGATACATTTTGCAATTCTAATTTATATTTCTCATTGAATTCAAGTCAACTTTTTATGTCATTCACAGTTATCCCGACCATGTTAAACTGAATATGTAAAATTACTTCTTCTGTATTAAACGTTGAACAGTGTTGAAATCATAGCTTTTAAATTAGAATTTCCACCATAATATTGTGATGCTATAAAAATCAAGATAAGTCTTAATGTAGAATATGTCATTTGTTATTCAACTGAAGAGATGATACAAGAAGAGTTCGAAAGAAAGACCAACAATAAAAAGGAAATCCTTGTCCAAGATTCAACGGTTTATAGTCTATTGCCATTTGTATGTATTCCGTCCTAGAGTGAATCAAAACATATGTGACTTTGTTGATGAGTTATCAGGTCTTTTAATATCATACCATACACTTTCTTTTGTTCCAGCATATCGTTGGGGTAGAGTGAACCTCTTATCAACTTCAGACATTTTTGAATGAGTGGTCGAAATTGATCGAAGGAACAGTTTGACAAAACTTGTGCTTACTTTTAAGTTTTTGGTAGAGTTTAATAACACGTTCGGAAATAACATCTGAAAAGTTTCATATGTTGAAAATATATCTAAGGATGCACAATTTACCTTCTATTCCCATTCAAATTCTTCAATGTTAAGGTTATAGCACTACTACACTGACCATAGGAAAATATTTAATAAACAATCTAAACATGAATATTCAAATTTCACATACTCAACTAAATATTGTAATTGACCCTCCAAATATCACTGCTTCTCACTCGCACATATCCAGTTAACCACAAATTTAAAGTGAATTTTCACAAAATACAACGACACTACCTCTATCTACGTATCATAGCTCGAACTAATCCCTAATAAACTGATAACTGAATCATTGTCTAAATCTGAATATCAAATTGTCTACCATTGCTTGATATTTCTCTTCCAACAACTACTCTACCAGCTGTCAGTAACTGATAAAGAAGGTCAGCTGATTCTGGCACTGTAGAAAGCTTCATATACTGTGATTCTGGTGCACGAATTATACAGTGCTCGTCAAAAAGTATGAATAAGATTGAACTTTTTCATTATTGTTTTGTCGAAATGAAAATGTTCTGTTCAATAGAAGTAAAGGTAAAACTGGAACCTTTGGCGTAAAATAAATCCAAAAAAGAAGCAACTTTTCCAATCACCAGAAGTTTATTACTCTTCTTGACGTGCGTTTCTTTAGTTTTCTTCATCTCCTGAAGACCCCTATATTAGGTTGGGAAAATGCGCGTCTTGAAGAGTATTGAAGTTCTGGCACAGGTTCTGGTTATTGGGAAAGATGCTTGTTCTTGAATTTGAACAGGCGAGAATGAAGTTTGTCAACCCAAACCCGAAGGTGAGCGTCGTAAAATATCATTCGAGCGGGTAATGGCCATTTTTTGAGTGGAGAATACAATACTTTTTCTATGACTTAAACAGGAATACTCACTTCAAAATAAAAATTTTCTTTATCTACTGAAGATGCCTATTTGGTTGGTGAAACGCGCGTCGAGTAGAGTACCTATTGAAGTTCTGGAGATTCAGAAAGATGCACTTTCAAAATGTATCATTTTTTTCCCACATTACAAATTTCTGGTGGGAAGTATCGTTATATACTTCCCGATTCTATGTTTTTATTCCTGTTTTCCGTTAGAAACTATATATTTCATCACGAAATGTCAGTTCAATGAATAATTTTATCGTTTGAGAAAAAAGGAAATTTTCAAGGCTTACTTGCGATTGAAAATAACTAAAACACAACTGTGAAGTTATAAATTTGCTCATCTGTGATTGGCCTCGAAGTAGTAAGTTATGAATCTGGTCAACTGTTATTCTTTTGAAGACTGGATAGTTAACAGTAACTCTGTGCTGTATCGAACACATGGTTCTTTTTGAAGGCGATAACGTGGGTACCGTCTCCGAGTGCTGTTCCACTACCGGCAAATCAGCAGTGATTTTTTTTCGTGTTACACTGACAAAATATTTTCGAAAATAATGTATGTAGATCGGGGAAAATAGCCTTTCTTGTTGTATCATTCATTCACGTGTGATAAGATTTTATTAATAACAAATCTATTGAAAACATTCTTCCACACATTATTATTATCATTAAACAAAAATACTGACTCTTGACATTCATTAATATAGTTTTACTGTTACATTAATATAGTGTTACTGAAGTTCCAATTATGCTAACTTAGCGAAACGCTCGTTAAAAGGCAGTATTTTTGTTCAGGTGTGGGATAAGTATTTTCAATAGATTCATTTTACGCCAGAGGTACCGATTCCATATATCAATTTCTTTACGTATGGATACTCCAGAGTGATGATAGAATAGGTTTAAGCTAGAAGACAGCAAGAGCTTCACAAGGAAGAGAAGCCGCCATAACCATTACTTGTACTTCCCTACATCAGAGGATTATCGGAAAGGATGAGAAGGATTGGGTCCAAGTATAACATCAGGTCCTGCTTCAGATCTGGGAACACTATCCGTAGCAGCCTCACGAAAACCAGGCCACCAAACGCGGACTGCGATTCCAAGAATTGCATTTACCGGATACCCTGCGAGTGCGGAGAATCATACATCGGTGAAACTAAGAGGCCATTGAAAGTTCGCATTGCTGAGCACAAGAAACACACACAGCGAGGAGAAACCAGCAAATCCGGAAT